CAGATGATGAACCATTTCCAGACAATGTTGATGTGGTGGATGGTGGTACAGCAATCGGTACATTTCTTTGTTCTGCAGCTAGCTGGTCCAGAGATCTGGTAGATCCACGGGTTACCGGCCGTTCATACGGAGCTATGCGTGGAAGCGGAGTTTTCTTCGAACGTCCCCTTGAAGATTTACCTCGTGAAGGCATGTTGTAGTGAAGTTGTAATAGAATAATAGCTTGATTGTAATAGAAATAACTGGATGAATACTATGAATAGTAATAGCGAAATCAATGTACACTACGCAAGGCGTGACAAAGAATGAATGAATGAATAAAAGACAAAGGGGGATAAAACAATGAAGGGACGCTAAGTGGCGTGTGCAAGATAAACAAAGAAAAGGATCAGGGCAAGGCATGATTGGTGGAAATAACAGGGGAACTCTGATTGGATAGTCAAAAATGTGGGAAGTAGAGTGAGTGCATTTACAAAACATATTTGTGACAACACAAATTTCACTTTAGTTGTACGTTCACACTTTACTATCAAAACCACCATTTCGACTACTCCTGCGCCAGTGATCAGTGTTTGGGCGAGCGGTTGGTGTTTTCAATGAGCGAGCGAGCCAAAAAAAAAAAAAAAAAAAAACGCGATTAAAATGCGGTCGGTTTCCGGTCGGACAAGACCGCATGGTCGGAAATTAAGCGTTAAGCGGTCGATGTAAAAGCGGAAGGTTGGGCGAAATGAGTACTGTATGACCATGTTTCTCCAACGAAGTCTCGACTGACAATAATGCTGACAATGAACGTTAGACAAACATGCATTGTTTGCGACTGGAAGCTTATCACCCGTTATATCAGAATCGTCAACAACGGAGTATACAGATAAGATGTTATCATTTAAACCCTTTCAAAGATAAACAATATGCAAACGGCAGTTGTAGTCTTTTCTGCTAGCGTTTTAAAACACTGATTTGAGCGACGTTATTCCGCAATTTCGATCTTTCGTAAACCTGGGATGATGTATTAAGGTAGCAAGAAGGGAAATTTTCACTTTTTTCTTGATTTTTCAAAAATTGATAAAACGTTCACTTTAGACCTATGGTCTAACTATTCATATTTTATTGATCAGGTATATAAATAAATGGAATTTTGAGGTTTAGGGCAAATCTATTAGTGATGCGCTTCTAATAGAACAAATACGATATATACAGATGGGTGTTGTAACACTGTGACTAAACTCATGAATCATTGTATGGCAGTTTGATTAGCAATCAGTTTTCAGTTGTGAGAAAAATAAACTGAGAAATGTATGTGTTTTTTTTTACCGATGAAACAGAACCTTGGAGTGGGTGTATTTAAAAAGCAAGGATTACTGATTTTCTTATTTTAATACCAATAGTAGTTTTCAACTCACCTAGCTGGCACAATCAATGGTTTGTGTTTATAAATTATTTTATATGTGAAGTGCTGTAAGTTACCTGAAATAACAGCAATTTTTGAAGCACCGTGTTCTTCTCTTGCAATTCTTTCTGCTTCCTCCATCAATAACGTACCAAAACCCTGAAAAACATAGATAGAGTTTTAAACATTAAATACTTAGCACAAATCAAGTATTGTATCTAATGGCCATTAAAATTTTTGATTTCCCAAGTTGGGTTTTTCAAGACCTGTATAAAACCAAAGAAAAATATATTCAAAATTTAACAAATTATGTAAAAATTATTTGGTGAGGTGAAAACTATGGTGTTTGGCTACATTAAGCAAATTAATATAATACGTCTACAACATTTTTTCAAAAATTTGCCAAACTTTTACTCATTCATGAAACGTATACGTAATTTTGTGATTTTTTTGTCCATTT